TAATATACATGATATACAAATACATTGTGAAGTGGGTATCACACACTAATGTATCTTTTGCCCCACATACTCATTAACAGATCTACTGATTTAGCAAATTTCAAGTGTACAATGTATTACCATAATCACCATGTTATATGTTATGCACCCAGATATCTATTCATCTTACAACTGAAGGTTGTGGTCTTCAATCTGTATGCCCCCTTTGTCTCAATTCTCCAACCTATTAATCACTACCATTCCACTCTGTTATTACGTGCTGTGCTTGATTTTTCGGATTCCACATATAAATGAGGTTATATGTATTCTGTGCCTTGCTTACTTCATTTAACTTGGTGTTCTCCACTGTATAATCCTGCTTGCTGCTATTGGCAGTCCTGCACATTCTCCATAATTGCCAATGACATTACATCCTTCCTTCCCAAAGCTTCTTAGCTTTCCTTTTTAAGCCTGATTAGCATTCCATAGTATTCTTTGTCCATTCATCCAGCAGTGAGCACATAGGCAGTCTGTATGTCTCAGCTGTTATGAATCTTACTTCTCTCCTTGGTAGCACTGACAATTCTACTTCCCCTGGTAAGAACTTCATTACACTCCAAAATTTGGGGCTGGGGAAAAGATCCAAAAGCAACCTCTTGTCTTCCTGTGACCTTCATTAAACACAATTTACAGCAGAGATTCTCCCATCAGATACCTTCAGATTTCTTCCAGGCTGAAGTGAGCAACAGAATTAACTTGAATTCTGAACTTTGAGAGCTCTGTTCTTTTGGGCTGTTTGTCACCCCCACCTGACCGGTTTTTCTAGTCCCATAGAGGGAGTCTTGCACGCCCAGACCCTAGTCCGAAGTTTGCATCCCCTCATGATAGAGCAATATAAGGAATTAAACAGGAACATTAGTTACGGGCATTTTGGAAATTAGACATTCTTGTTAAGGTCACAAGCCCTGGAGAGAGAGGTGGTTCAAGGCAGGTGTGTGTGTCATAGGAAACTAAAGGACTAAGCCCATCAACCCCTTTGATCTCATGGGGATTTGCATAAAAATTTTCAATCAGATTTTATCTTTATTTTTTCACCTCTAAGTCAGAGTACAGGAATGATATCAACTAGCTGGATGCAATCAATGTATGTATACCTGAAAGCATCATGCAGCACCCTACAGATGTACTCAGTTTGATTTGTCAGCCAAAATTCACATCGAAAAAAAATTTTTTGAAAGAGAAATGTGATTTAAACTAATGGGAATAATCATTACAGTGAACATGTTTTTCAGAGTATTTTAGAAGAATTTTCCCCAAAACAAGATTCATTCTGATCAACTGACCTTGATTTCTAGATTTAACTAAATAAGAACTAATTAGGAGGGAAAATTACAGGTCAAATTTAAAGTTAAGCAACTCCGCTTTTTCCTTGGCGATTTTTGGGAGGTCCTGCTTCCTTTAGTCCTAAAACTCGGAAAAATTCCAAGGATAATGGGATGAAATCTAATCTGTGTACTTGAGGGTCCCTGGGGTCTGAGCTTCCTTTCACTTACTCAGGAAATCAGGAACGGGTTCAAAGTAGAATCCTCCTTGGGAAAACCCTTGGAAGCAATCATTACTTCTGACTCACCCCGGACAATTTCCAAAGGGGAACACTGATCGCTTGCGCCTCTGCCCCACACTCCCTCAGCTCGGGCTCAACAGTTCGTGCTTCTAGTTTCAGAATCTGAGAGAAACGCGTCTCTAAGTTGGGCCCGATTTTCCACAGCCTGCTTTATAAGACTGATTGGCGATTTTGTCACAATGAATCAATAATGAATATTTTCCCTGCATTTAACATTGGAGCATTGCCAACTCCTGCGCCTGGCCCGGTGCTAATTGCAGGGGAGGACGGGAAGAATTGTGTGTGTGAGTGTGAGTCTCACTCTCACCTGTTGGTCACCAGTGGCAGCGCCCGACACTTCTCTAAGCTCAGAAAGCGAGGAATGAACCATCTCCATCCCTCCTTTCCCTTCAGGACAGAGCGCTTTTTTAAAGGAAGATTTTGTTGTCTCTCCGTGCAGTGTTAGCGCCCTCTGGGTGCAGACTCCGGTTAGCTCCCCGGGGTTCCAGTCTGTGGTTCGCAGCCAACCCGGTTTCTTCTTAAAGAATTAGTGCGAGTTCTGAAGCCTGAAGGCGCACCTGGCAGGGTCCCGAACCCTCAAAGTAACGTGGGAGCGACATCTACTTCTAGAGTAGTGTTTTCTTATCCATTTCGCAGTCCCGTTGGGCAAGAGAAAGTTTTATGCTGCCCTTTAGAGGAGAACGTGCATCCTGGCTGGACACACACAAAGGAAACCTCTGAAGTAGAGAAAGCAGTCTCTCCACATTTGCTAACGCATTTGTACCTCAGCCTCTGGTGGCAATGGCCTTGAGGCTGCGCGCGTATTGGCCACCTGCGGTTTTCACAAACAAGTTGCAAGCCACTCCGCACCAAAATCCCAAACCCAGCTGAAAGTTAAACTGACCAGCCCGGGGAACCTGGTACTAGATCTCAGCTGAAGATATCTGTTTCCATGCTCCAGCGTACACTTTGTGCGGAAATCTGCCATCTGCTGCCTTGGCTAGGCGTCACCCCCACCTGACCGGTTTTTCTAGTCCCATAGAGGGAGTCTTGCACGCCCAGACCCTAGTCCGAAGTTTGCATCCCCTCATGATAGAGCAATATAAGGAATTAAACAGGAACATTAGTTACGGGCATTTTGGAAATTAGACATTCTTGTTAAGGTCACAAGCCCTGGAGAGAGAGGTGGTTCAAGGCAGGTGTGTGTATGTCACAGGAAATGCCACCATTTCTGGGGATTAATGAGTAGGGTGTGGACAGGACTTTGGGGTGGGGAGGGAGTGAAACTCCATGACTCTGGCTATTCTTGCACTCCTGGGGGATAATTCCTACTCCGCCTTGAAATTACCAGGAAACCACTGTTCCCATCTTGCCTGCAGCCCGCAGAAAACCGCTGTGATGCTCACAGCACCAACGTCAGCGGGCTAAAATGCCCAAACCCACAGAATCTCCAACGTCCAGAAGCATCTTGATTCTTGTGCCCCACACTAGCTGCTCAAGGGTTTGGGGCCAGACCTCAACCTTTCTGGGCGTGCCAGAAGGTGACAGTTACAGTTGAGTGATTTCGAAATCCCCCGTGCTGGGTCTGAGTGAGAAGATCGATGTTTTGGGGGGAAATGGGGTAATGGATCCGATGCTCTCCTGAGTATGCACAGGTCTGCTGGAAGCAAGCTGTCAGGAGCAAGTGTGGGCTGCTGAAGGCAGGAGAACTGTCAGAGGCAGGTGTGGGGCACAGTGAAGACGGAATCCCTAAGGATATCCCCTGCATTCCAGGTCTGTTTTGTGCCTGCTTGGTGCAGTGGGTATAGGTTCAGAGGCTGTAATGAGAATGAGGAAAGGGGACGCTTGGAATGAGAGCGAGCTTTAGTCAAGGCAGGGAGCCTCCAGGGACTGTCAAGCCTCTCTTGCCTGCTCTTCAGGAGAGGATTAAGTGCAGGATGGCAACGTGGGCAAGGATCCAGTGCCACTGGAGCACCTTGGCAAACAGCACCCGGAATCAAAGGGGCAGCTGTGCAAATGGTTCTGGCAGGAGGACTGAATGGAAGGTGATGGATGGCGGAATCTGAAGGGAGAGAGAGGCTTGTGAAACATCTGCCCCTCCTGTTTCTCCCTTGGGCCAGCTGGGCACCTTCCGCCTCCCCACAGCACCTAGGATCTGTCTCTATGGGGCAGCTCCTAGGGGGAGGATTGCAAAGTATCCCTGGAGATTTTACAGAATATCCTGTGTGGACTTGGAAAATCGATGCCTTCCTCTCCAGGTGCATTTTCTTCTCACAGCCTTCTTTTTAGAGTTCTTTCCATTTATTTTTGTAATTTATTTACTTGTGGGCTTGGTGTTGTGGAATAGCAGGTAAAGCCACTGGCTGTGGCAACTTCAGCATTCCATGTAAGCTTTGGTTTCTATCCCAGTTGCTCCACTTCCAAGCCTGCTCCTTGCCTATGTGCTTGGGAAAGCAGCATAAGATGGTCCAAGTGCTTGGGCCCCTGCACTCAAGTGGGAAACTTGGATGAAGCTCGGAGGTTCTGGTTCAGCTTTAGCCATTAAGGCCATTTAGTGAGTGAACCAGTGGATGAAAGATCTCTCTTTCTCTGTAGCCCGGCCTTTCAAAACCAGTAAATTTTCAAAAGTGATTTTTAAAGAGGTATTTGACAGAAACACTTACAAGGAGGGAAGGAGGAAGAGAGAGAGGGAGAGAGAGGGAGAGAGAGGGAGAGAGAGCACTCTACCACCCACTGGTTCATTGCCCAAATGGCCACAGAAGCCAGGATCCTGGATCTTTGTCCAAACCTGAGTCTCCCACATGGGTAGAAGGGACACAAGCACTTGGCACATCTTCTGCTGTGCACCCAGGTGCATTAGGTAAGAGCTGCATTGGAAATGGAGCAGCCACGACATCAATGGGTATCCATATGGGATGGTGTGTTGCTCAATAGCTTAACTCTCTGTGCCACGAAGCTGCCTTCCCACCCTGAAAGCCACTACTTCAAAGATGAGGTTGCTGAGGTTCTGTGAACTCATCTCATGGGAACTGAACTTGGGTCTAAGGAAGGTGTTACTCCCAGCCCCATCTCACAAGTCCCACACTATGCCACTCCTCACTTGAGGGAGCCAGCAAGTCCCTTCTTTCCTGGACTCTTCCCTCCAAAATTGCAGCCAGGGGTGGAGTCTGGCAGGTGTTGCTTAACTAAGCACGGTGGAAGAGGTGCAATCGAGAGTGACGGTGACGTCAAACTACCCTCAAGTTACCCGCTCACTTTAATGGCGTTTCTACTTGGTCCCCATCTCCCCCACTGCCGCCTCTTCCATTAATGACCTCAATGCAAATACAAGTGGGGCCACCCTGTAGGGTGCTTCAGGTTCTGGAAGCAAGGGGGTGACGCAAGTCGCCCATTGGTTGCCCAGACGCACCCGAACCCCTCCCGACTCACAGCGGCTGGAATAAAAGCAGCCGGCTGACGCTGCAGGCTTCGGAGCCACAGCCCAGCCCAAGTGCTGCAGCCGCTGATTCCGCAGAGTCTCAGCTTCCAGGCACTGCCAACAGGTGAGCCCGGGGTGCTGCTCAGGTGTGCTGTGCAATTTCTCTCTCTGAGGGCTCCTGTGTCCTCCTCCCTCCACCCCCGCCTTCTCTCTCTCTCTCTCTCCAGTAACACTGCCTCCTACTTTTATCTCCCTGGTAGCTTGAGTCGGCTGACTACACTTTACAAAATCTTTTTCTTTTACAAAATCCTGTCCCAGGTCAGGTCGCAGCTCCTGCCGGCTGCACTCACATTCCTCTACCTGCACCACGTGGGCAGCACATCGCAAACAAGTAGCTTTCTGCTAACAGTGCTTTGGGATGACACCGGGTACCTCGATGTCTTTGGGAAATTGGTTCAGAACCCGGGCCAGCAAGGATGGGTGGTAAATGCTGGCAGCGTCTGAGTAGCAAGTAGCCCTCAACTGCAAGCTCCAGTCTCAGGATCTGGATGGGCAAAACGTTGGCGTTCCAACTTAAGAATGTTAAGCTTAGTTTCTGCTTTAGGATGGAGCAGCAGAATTTTAAAAGTAGCTATCCAGCTACTGATAAGAGAAATGTAATCTCAAATTCAGGACACTAGAAAGTTAGCAGCAGGGCAAAAAGTAATCTAGGAATTCAAGTCTAGGCTCAGAAGAATTTCAGTTGGTGCAGGAAGTGATGTTATTCTTCCCTGTGTTATCTTTTCCCCATAGACAGGCATCATGGGCTTCCTCAAGTTCTCCTCTTTTCTGGCTCTTATCATCTTGGTCCTGTACCAAGTGGGCACTCTCCATGCCATGCCATTCAGGTAAGACAACCTGAACCCAGGTACACATTCCCTTTGGGCTGCCTTGTAATGGGACAATTCCTTGTCTCTTAAATTTGATATTCTGATTCTTCAAAAACTGAGTCTTGGGACCGGGGTTACTGGGAGGGATATGTATATGTTTATTATAAAAATTTTTTATCTAAAGATGCACGTGCACAAATTAGAGTAATAACATCTACAATGTTCCTCACTGGAAATCTCATGTAGCCATCGGCTCTAAGAAAATTCTTTCACTTTCACCAAACTTCTGCTATCTACAGATGAGCTATTTGTTCATTTTAGACCTGATCTGGGAGAGGGATTGCATCCTAATCTGCTAAATAGTATGTCAATAAGTTTGCTCTTAAATCTGATGATGTGACCTATTGATCTGTTTCTCATCCCTGTACAAATCACATTAAACTGAAACCTTTTTCAGATCCAGCATGAATTATAAGCTTTATCACTCAGTGTTTAATAGCAGCTGAATTTAACACTCAGCTTGCAAAATTTCTGAAAATGTGGCCATCAGCTTTCACAGGTTTTTCACAAGCCTGTGCAGACTGGTTCCTGCACACTTCTTCAGGTAGATGAGACCACTGCCTGGCCCCCATCAGGATACTGTCCTCAGGCCCTGTCTACTGGGAGTTGGTAGTCACATTCTCAAAGGAACAAACAACAGGATGATGCTCAAAGCTGGCATTGGGTCGGCTTCCTTTCCACAGATCTGTCTTGGAGGGTAGCCCAGACCTCACCACACTCAGTGAGGAAGAAGCTCGCCTCCTGCTGGCTGCTCTGGTGCAAGACTACGTGCAGATGAAGGCCGGTGAGCTGGAACAGGAGCAGGAGACAGAAGGTCCCAGGTAAGGCTCCCCATGCTGCCCAGGACACAGACTCCCTCCTCATCTGGCATACCCAAGAAGGTACATCCCAGCAGGTAGGAGATCATACACTGTCCAGAAGCCCAACAGGCTGTTGTTTTCCACTAGGATATGGGGTCCGAGCCGTTCCTAGGTTCTCCTCAACACAGGAGTCAGCTGAAGAGACTCTGGTCAGATACTCTCTTACAAACCTTCATTTCTGAACACAGTTAGGAAAGGTATGGTGTCACTCACTGTAGAAACTAGCTTTACAGTAGTAGGGAAACTTTTCAGGTTTGAATAAGAAAGACTGGTAAGGGATAAGTCAGGGGATGGGCATGATAAAGATCAGGAGATTTTAGAAATTGAGCTCCACTTTATTCATCTGCATATGATATATGATGTCCTTCCACACATGCAAGGTGCCTCCATTCACACTTACAAGGTTAGGGTAAAGGGGTAGTGTCATATAGGGCATGCATGGGGTAGGGTCATGTAGGGCAGAGACTGAGGTAAGTCTGAAGCCTCTAGGTGTGGAGCATCTATGGAGGTATGCATGACATTAAGGAGCCTAGAAGAGCACCCTTCCCTGGTATCCCCTCCCTGTGCCTCCTGGCCATGCAGCCAGGGCAGGGGCTGGCCCTGGCCTGGCCCCAGCACAACCTAGGCAGAGGCATGTTTGGCACCTGCATCTATTCTGAGAACCCCTCTGCAGAGCATGAAGGATTGACTAGCATGGAGAATGCCAGAAAAGCTCCCTTTCCCTTCCCCATCTTGGCCCCCCACACCCCTAAGCTTTCCTAATGGAGAATAAGTGAGCTACCCTCCTGCCTGTCCCTCTGGTCCCCAGCTCAAGTGCCTCTGCTGTGTGACTGTCCATGGGGGCAAACCCTGGTGCATGGTACTCTCAGGCATGTCTTTTCTCTACAGCCTGGCCAGTCCCAGATCTAAACGGTGTGGTAATCTGAGTACCTGCATGCTGGGTACATATACGCAGGATCTCAACAAGTTTCACACGTTCCCCCAAACTGCGATTGGGGTTGGAGCACCTGGCAAGAAAAGAGATATGGCCAACAACTTGGATATGGACCACCGCCCTCAATTTGGCATGCCTCAAAGCACCAACTAACCCCCCCTCTCCTTCCCAATTTCCCTTCTTGCTTCCTTTCTATAACTTGGTACATATGGTTCCCCTCTGCTTGCTCTTTGGCTTTCCTTGTGGCAAAGGACATCTGGACCTCAGTTGGTCTACAAGAAAGGAGGACTCACCTACTAGAAGAGAAGTACTCACGGAGAGGTCAAAAGGCAAGGGCAGCCTCTGAGGCTCCCAAAGATTTCACAGCATATCTTCTCATTCCTGATTCCAAATATGATGGTCATTTGGGAAATAAAACTATTTTTCTAAAAGGGCTTGAGCTGTGGTGATCATTGCTCTGGCCCACATCCCAGGCTTCACAGGGTATAGGACCTGTGTTTGGAAGTAGTATTAGTCCTGGGGCAGCTGGACACAAGGTATGGTGACTGGTCCATTCAACTGAGCTCAAGCAGCAAGAGCAGGGATGCTAAGAAGCAGGTAGGCACCTGGGAGACTGGATGCTGCCAACTCCATAACTGTTTCAGGTAAGCTTGGGAAATTCTTACTTTCCTCAGTAGGTGTGTCTGGAGCCATAACTACAGTTTGGAATCTACAGTCATTGTAAATAAGGTTGGGTGTGGTGCCACAGTTCACTCAAGTCTCACAAGCCTTTGCTGATTTTTACTCTACACAGGGAAGGTTGCCTGTAACAATGCTGTATTCCATGGCCAATCACCCAGGGTAATCTTTGGGTTTTCTGTACCCCTGGGAATGTTTATGGGGAGTAATAGGACCGATTTTCCTTAATGACCTTGTGATTTCTGCTCTGATAGTTGTGTTTTGGAGAAACACTTAAAGTTAATTGGTGCCTCTCAGAGCAGCAACTTTACCATGATGGTCCTGTGGGGCAGTTTTCCCTTCTCACCCTCCAGCCTCCCACTGACAGCTCTTTTCTTCTTACTCCATCCTGCAAATCAGCATCTCTGCCCAGAAGAGAAGCTGCAAGACTGCCACCTGTGTTACCCATCGGCTGGCAGACTTGCTGAGCAGGTCAGGGGGTGTGACGAAGAGTGACTTCGTGTCCACCAATGTGGGTTCTGATGCCTTTGGTCGGCGCCGCAGAGACCTCCAGGCCTGAGCAACTAGACCCCAGGAAGAAGGTGACTGCCCTTGTTCTGTCTGATGGCAAGATGGATGTTCAGAAATCACAAAAGTGTGATCTGCCCTCTGTGCCCCACTGGCCCAGATGATTGAAAAAAAAACCTGCAGAGGAAAGACCACACCTGTGCCTGGAGAAAGGGTACTTGGTCCCAATAGCCCAAACCCTAAAATTTGAGTTTCTCTGGCTTTCCAACTTTTCTTGTGACACCAAGACCACCAGGCCAGGAAATATAGATCTTGTTCATTAAAATACTATTTCTTGCATTATTCTGGTACTTAAGTTTGAAAGGTAATGACACTATCCTTTGGAGTATATACCATAATGTCATGCACCACTAAATTAAGAGCATGGATTAGAGTTCAAGGGCCATGTTTGTCCTTTATTAGCTATATGACCATGAGCCAACCTCTTAACGCTCTCTGAGCCTCCACTTGCAGATCGAGGGTTGCTGTAGTACCTCTTTAAATTAATATTAAGACTAAACAAGATAAAGAATGTAAACAGCCTAACACCTAATGCAACTAAACTTTGGTTGTTTTTTTTTTCCTCCTAGGTTAACAGTGAAGCTGAACTCTACTTCTTTTATATATAACAAAAGCAATTTGTAGGAAAGGCTCCATGAAAGACATTTGTATTTGTTTGCATCCTTCTTGATATTGAAAATTACCATCTTTGTTTGAAAACAATTAAAGCTAAATGCAGAGCAACCACTTTGTAATTCTGCATCTTTTCTTTATTTGATTCTACACCTGATAAATATGACAGCATGTCTCACTAGTTTACATAATAGCGAATCTGGATCTCATAATCTCTCCTGTTGCTACTGGCAGCTGTACTAAACCTCGAAAATCATGCCTCCTGGGTATCTGTGGACATAATAATGCTATACTTTGAAGGAACTGTCTGTTTAAAGAAATGTCAGTTTTGTCATTTGTGAACTTCATCAAATTAAAGATGTATTTTCGATACCCATAAATGAAATCATTGTTGCTGTTAATAATGTCTTCCTCATTGGGGGTCTGTGATGACTTGAATCAGGCTGACTCATGTTAGGCAAAGGCAACCTTTCCTGGGATGGATTCTCATTATCTTACAATTTTACTTTCTATTTAGTCTCCCTCTTTTGAATTAAAGCTTTGTGCATGTCATAGAAGACAATTGATACTTGCTTTCAGAGAGTGCCCTGGCCCCCAGTCTCAAGTTACCCACAAACTTCTCCTCCAGGTGGATTTGCCCTTACTCATCCTTATAAAAGGCCCTTTGTGCCTTTCCCCTTAGTTGGCAAAATCCTTTTGAAAACAGTGGCTTAGGGTTTGAAACAGGGTTCACTGATGTCTTACAGTTCAAATTTTTATTTTGGTAACATGCACAGAAGTGGTGGACAATATTCTGCAATACATTCAACAGAGACATTCGTGTGTATAATAAGTTCTTACTGAGTGGGTGCTATTTGCTAGGCACTATTTGGGCGCCAGAATAAAACCAATGAACAGAACAGTCAGGAATTCTTGTTCTCAGGGACTGGCTAAATGGGGGAGACAAGTGATACATACAGTGGAATCATAGGCCTTCCTTCAGTGTTTGAAGAAATCTGGGATGTTGTAGAGTTGGATCACAGGATCAGCTCCCCAGCATTTATTGAAACCACCAGTGACAAAACGCTGAGTGTAACTCCAAGGCAACTGCGCGGTGCATTTGCTGGTGGACAGTCAGCTAATTAGCTAAGTGGTTAGTTGGAAAACTTAACTCCTCCTTCCTACTAACTCTATTTCCTTAGGATCTCAGAGAATTATGTGTCCTTCTCCCTTTTAGTCTGTATTCAACACAGTTGCCCAACCTTTAGTGTAAAAGGTAGGTCAGATCATGCTCTGTCTAATGCTCAAAACACTCCAATGACAGCTCACTGAGAACACACCTGCCATATTTCAATGGCTTGCAACGTTCCAGTTGATCTTTCCTTCCTCTCCTTTTATCCTCATTCCCACTACCTGCCTGCCCTCTCCTACTGGCCCAGCAGCAACCCTTTACCAGTCTTTAACTCGTAGAACCTGATACTGAACCACCAAAAGTCTTTGCATTTTTTGGTAGCTCTCTGAAAAATACTTTATCCCATGGCCCCAAATCACCTCCTGATCTTTACTCACTTTCACCTACCATAATCAGCCCTTCTGAAATTGCGACCCAACAATCTTCCCATAGTTCTAGTTTTTTCTTTATTTTATTCTCCTTACTGCTCGTTATCTTCTACACAAAATTATGTTTTTGCTTATTTTTTATGGTTTGTCCCACCCCTACAATATCCATCAATATATGGTTCACACAGGCAGGAATATGGCTATTTTATTCATCGTTTTGTCTGTAACACATAAAACAGTGTGCCTGGCCCAAGGTAGCACTCAATAAATATTTAGCGAATGAATTGAATTTAGTCTTCTTCCTTTTGATGTGTGTGGTCAACACTCAGTTTTCTCTGAGCCTGATTTTCTTCAGGTTAAGTTACCCAAAGGCCATATGTTTTAGCAATTACATCACCTAGATCATGAAACTCTCAAATTTTTGGAGACTTCAATAGCTGCCAGTTTGTCAATAAGTATGTTTCTTGCTTCAAAGCCTCCACCAGACTATTTTCTCCAGTTAAGCCACACTACTAACCATACCTTTATGTTTGGTTAATTCTCGTCATAGCTTCTTATTCTTCCAGTCAGTAAACAAAGCAGACAGGTAGGGGTGATTTGTAGGTGTATTATGCGTGACTGAGTAGCTAAGTTCAAACCTCAGTGTGGGAGGGAGGAGAAGTTTACAGGGAGGAATAGCAGGGAGAACATGTTAGTACTGGGTCCAGGACAGCATCACCAACAACAGAGCTAAAATTGTATTGATTTTGCACCGAGATCCTGTGATTATTTCTCAATTGCCTGAGAGCACATCGGGAAGAGTATGATGAATTTGAACTCTCAAACTAACACATCAGTCAGTGGCTGAGAAACTTAAGACTAAACATAAATAGTACATAAGGTGATCTAAATACATGAAAAACAGTAATTTTTGATATGACTATGACATCAATCTTTTTCTACTCACTACCCACAGGAAATTTCTGAGTAAAGCAATGTTTTTTTAACGTCAAGGCTCATCTCAGTGAAAGCTCCTGTACGTATTGTGTGACTTAATTCTTGCTGCCAGTCATTCACAGTGTTGCAGAATTATTGTGTACTTTCATCCTTTCCATGGCTTCGTGAGTGGTGTTGACTTCTTTGTCCCTTGACTTTGGAGTTAATCATATGACCTGCTTTGTCCAATAGGCTATTAGTAGACACGACATAAGCAGAAGATAGATATGTGTGGTCTTGTGCATCTGTCACTACCAAAAAAAAAAAAAAAAAACCATTCCAAAGGAAACCATTATCTTATAAACCTAGGCTCAAAAATGAGACATGTGGACCTAAGCTTGACCTGCAGCCTACTTCTATGTTTAGCCAATATCAGATGAGGTCAAATTCATCAAAACTTATTTATATACTCATGGGCAAGAAAAAGTAATATTTTTTATTATAAGTTGCTAATATTTAAGTGATTTCAATGTAGTATTATGGCAGTAGTTAAATGATGCACAATATTTGGTGACACTTAAAGATGGAATTTTGCCCCTCTCCAATTCCTTATACTAAAGCTGTAACCCCCAATATGACTGTATTTGGAGATAAGACATGAAGGGAAATAGTTGAGATTAAAGGAGGTAATAAGGGTAGTAGACTAATCTAACAAGATTGGAATCCTCCTGAGAAAGAAGCATGAGAAAGCATGTGCTTTGCTCACTGTGCACACATAGAGAAGGAACCAGTTGACAACACAGTGAGAACACTATGAAGAGATTTACCAAGTATCCTGCTCCTGGAAATACACCCAAATAAAATGAAAAATGCTTACAAGAAAGTGACATGCAATCCCATATTTATAGCAATGCAGTTCACAATGGCAAAAACATGGGAACAACCCAGATGCCTGTCAACAAATGAATAGATAAAGAAACTATGGTACATATACTCTATGGAATACTACTCAGCCATGAAAAAGAATGAAATCCTACCATCTGTGACAAAATGATCCCAACTGGAGACTACTGAACTTACTGAAATAAACCAATCCCAAAAGTACAAATATCATATGCTT